TAAAAACGCCTCCGCAATTTTATTCAAACCGAAATACCATTTTTAAGCGAAAAGGAACATAAAAACAATGGCTTGTATCCACACAATGCAAAATAAGTGACAATCGCCCTCGTTTACCCAGTAACGAATACAAATCGCACGCAACATAACGCCACATTACCCTATTTATTCGCAAAAATTGCCTCAAAACAAATACTACATTACGAGCGACTCCCAGATACCCCCCACAGCGCTCGCAAATAAAATTTTATTGCCAGAATTCGTGTTCTAGCCGAATACATTCGCGGCGTATGAAAATTTGTTATGCCCGCGTTTCGACGATACGTTCTATCCGAACCTAAGTATAACGGATGGCGATGCTTTTCCTATAATGTTTTATGTAAATAATCTTATTTTTGGCAGTAGTTACGGTTTATCTTGTGTGAACCGGATATTCGTGGGTTCTGTGTTGAGTTTGTGTTATAAATTATCAACTAAAATAGTAAGACATGGATCTTAACGCGACTTTATTATTGAGTTACATTATGTACTCACGGATTTACGTTTCGGCTACGATGCTGCAGCCGTGGTCACAAGCAGACTGACGGCTCGCGGCGTCGCGGCGTCGTCTGTTCGGGCGGGCTTGAAAATTTTCAACTACCCTCATATTTATTTGCAGCCGAAACGTCAAATCGTGAGTACATAATGTAACTCAATAATAAACGTCGTGTTAAGACCCGTGTCTTACTATTTTAGTTGAAATGGAACGCGAAAGTTTAAAATCTTTTAAAATATCAAATACAGAAGTTTCTGAAATAGGAATGAATCGACTTTCAAATCTCCTGTCCTATAAGTATTCACTCAATATTATTATAGTTTAGAAAGTATTTTTTTCAAATGCGTTTTTAGACAAAATTAATATTTTTAAGTTAAACTACACAAAGTCTATTGTGGAATGATATACATTTTAGACAAAGTACATGTTGTCATGCAGCCCGCACTCCTTTTGATCCGTGGCTGGAGGCTGCGGAATGGGGCCGTTTTAAACGTCTTGCATCTCAAAGGGTCCACTGTTATTTAGAACACATTGTACATGTAAACGTTGGTTGGATACACGACTGCTATCATTAACAACTAATGGAAAAAAAATTGAGCTCCTGTGTACCTACCATGAGTTTACGTTAGGTATGCTCGCTAGCGAGTACGTCAAAAATCTCTTTAAAGATTTTGTTTCTTGAAAGTAGCCGCTAGGGGCGCTGCACAATATGTCATACAATTAATGTCATTTTTTTACGCAATCGCTAGCGAGCTCACCTAACGTAAACTCATGGTAAGCCTACAGATATAAACTTGAACGTTACCAAGACGAGATTTTATAAGACGTATTACATGGTTAGTAAATTCTTGCTTTGTTTTATTTTAATTTGTGAAATATTCGTTCGTTCGTTCATTAGTTTCATCTGAAAGACGACACTGCTGGACAAAGGCCTTACCCAAGATTTTTCACAAAGGCCGGTCCTATGCCGCCCGCATCCAGGCACCTCCCGCGACCTTCACCAGATCGTCGGTCCACCTATTGGGAGGCCTGCCCACACTACGTCTTCCGGTTCGTGGTCGCCACTCGAGAACTTTACTGCCACGCCCACTGCCCTCAGTGAAATATTATGATGTAACATATTATTTTAATTAGGTATATTTCAGACTCAGAAATGTTATCGTCAAAATAGATCCTCAGCAATATTAGAGCTGTAGAGTACAATAGACAAAGCAGCAAAATGATTGCCCCGTCGGCTGCATTTCCCAATAACATAATACTGCTGTATCCGAACGCTCGCGGCAGAAGACGGAACAATTATATGCGTCCGTGAACATTCCAAGAATACTCCGCGTAGAGCCCGCCACTAAGAAGCTTTAGAAATGCATACATTAGTATTACTATGGAAGTTCCTAGAGAATAACGTAAGATGATATTTGAGACAGACATTAAATTAAATGTACGAGTAATTCAAACGCTTGGAGACGCATGATACTGAGGGCCGACCCAAAATAAAATGGGAATGAGCCAGGCAAAGAAGAAAGAAGATGTAGTAACGTAAATAAAAGTAAAAGTGCTTTTTAAAAGCCTATTTGCAAAAATAAATGAGTTTTATGAGTTTTTTATGAGTTATAATTTAAACCATGAAATTTCTCAGTCTTCATCATAGTAATTCTAGTAAAGTTAATATAATTTATTTTAGTAGGTACTAGGTACCTATTAAAGATACATAGATATTTATTATTCTTCTTAGTTTACTTAAATATTTAAGCTGTCTCATGTCAACTTGCTACAAACTAGATTTGCGATAACATGACTCACCCGCGCAAAATTAAGCCACATTAAGATTGTTTCGAAACTTACAAAAACTGGTCATTCCGTCCGAAAGCCGCCAAATGTTATTATTTTAGCAGGACGACATACGCCGGGTGTCCTTTGTGACGGTGGCATGTCGATGTCCCTGTATTTTTTGATGTCCCGGCTCAAAGGCTTCCGGGACAGGGATGCCTCTCACGCCGCCAGATGTCACGCGGGTGCCCGCAGCGCTGCCTACACCGAACTTTGAAAGCTCAAAGCTTTAGACGGGAAATGAGAACTGTTTCGTGCGAGAATGTCACTTTCCATTTGTGAAATCTTGTGCGTTGTTTTGTTTACGTTTATATATTCTGACTTTTAAAACTCTGAGCACTTGAAATATCATTAAAATAGAATGTCATTATCTATTTATTTTTCTCATTTCATAACTGCTAAATAATAACATGAAGTATATATTTTTCTAACTTTTACGTATGTATACACGGCCACACTGTTAACTATCCATTTCCGTTTTTGTTCTCGCTCTAATCAAGTGGTGATTCTTTGCGATAGAACGAGACGACATGATAGGCAATGGATAGTTAACACTGTTGCCGATGTTAACTAGGTTAATTAAAAAAAAACTTAAATTATGGTATTGGTAGGTATTTTGTACGATACAATAATTTATAGCAAACCAGCGTTTCATTTTATCTACCAATCTTACTTTTCATAAACAAGATTCTTATTCTCATCTCCACATCATAAAAATACTTTTGCAAAATTCGAAAGAAAAACAGATAGCGATAGCAAAACGAATTGAATTTACATCAGTCGGGCACATTTCGCGGGAATCCTTCAAGCAACTTTGAAACCGGCGTCAGGCGTCACGTCGTATCGCGTCCGTCAGTCCGTCAGGCGCCCAAGCCTGCCTCTCGTAATTATTGCTCTTGTTACTTGTCCGACGCGTTTGTGATTTTAGTGGCTGGATTCCGGTACTGTGAATTAATGATAAATGACACGAAAACAGGATATGACCGATAATACGCTAATTTGGTTGCCATCTGTTTTGAAAATGTTGTTAGCTCAATTATTTTGGAATCGGCCGTTCCTTTTATTTATATTTTGTAATTTAAAAATAATTAGTTAAACCGCACAGAACCCTAGTGACAGCGGAGTTGAAGCGGTCACCATTACTGAAAACATTTGTTTCACATGATTATCATAATTCTTGTTCTTGTTCCCTCCCTGCTTTCAAATTAGTTGAAGTCACACCCTAGGCCTATTATCAACAGTAAAATTTGCTCATCTCTTAAATATTCTCAAAATGACTAGGGTTTATTTTGAACGCAACAGTGAAGTTGATATATCCTTACAATTTCTCGGTGGAAACAAGAGGATCATTTAATTTTTATTCCACATCTTGTTCCAATCGTATTCAAAGTACTGCGCGAATTGCATCAGAATGCAAAATGTAGGCGGAGAGATTTCGTAGCGCGTGCTGTAGACTTGTAACGCGTAGCATGTAGGAGATTTCGTAGTACGTGTTAGTGACTCGTAGCGCGTAGCACATATGACTCGCTACGGCTACGCGGCTGCTTGCTACGATGTGAGCTTACGCGTTACGAGCTGCTACGGTCTACGTGTGTACTGTGTAGTATATTGGACAAGAATGTGTGACCTTAGGTGTGACCTTAAATGAAACGGCTTTTATGCTAGAATGTTAATATCGCAGCATAATATCCCTTGTAGGTTATTGACCCAGCGTGTTGGCGATATGCCAATTATGTTGAACTGGATGCGGAGTTTATATTAAAAGTTTGCCAACAGTGCGTGGTTTCGGCCGTTAGAAATTATTTACGGTTTTATCTATTATCTTCTTCTTAGCGATCTCTTCTTAAAAGTAGTTTCTATACAAGAATTTTTCTTTGTTTCTTTTTCTTGTTTCTTTTCAATTTAGTTTAATAAGTATGATACTTAAAATAACGGTGTAAAAATAAATATTCGTAATTAAAGTACAAATTATTTATTAAATGTTCAATTTCAAGACTTTGGTTAATTACTCGTATTTTGAGGTCAAAATTCAGTAAACTTATCCGAGCTATTTGTAAAGTCGAAACAATGAATTTCATATTTTCACAGCAGTAATTACATTCAGGCAGAATTTCAATCAGCCTTTTGGATATTTAATCTTTTTATACTTTTATTCGGCACTGAGCCGACGCGATCCTTGATAATTGTAGGTAAAATTAATAAAAAAAAAATCAAATAAGGTAATTTTTGGTCTTTTATGCTACGAGAAACATCGACAGTTAATTTAAATTTTAACGTTTTTTACCCTAGATAAATAGAGTTTGACTATTGTGATAAAAATATAGCTAATGAAATAGAGACCGTATTGTTGCATAATTAAAAAATATTTCACTAAAGACTATACTTGTTCAAAATACTAAGGCTATGGAGGTTTCAGTGTCAATATTAATCGGCTCTATTGTTTGCACAAAGCCAGTGTCTATTTGCTCGAATAATTTTAAATACCTAAAATATTGTAAAGTTATCTCCTGGCCTCAACGAGACAGGCTTGCCTAGTGTGCCGTCCAAGATTAATATGAAAAATGTAATTGTATTTATTATTTATTCATGGTACGGTTGAGTATTACAATTTCTCATGTACACTATCTCCTTGTTACAGACTAAACCACGCTCTCTGCGGGTTCTCGCCGTGGTGGTGGCACGCGTGCAACGTGGCACTGCACGCGGCGTGCTGTGCGCTCGTCGCGCGCACAGGCGTGGTCGTAGCGCGACTGCAGCGCCCCTTCGCGGCACTAGCGGCGCTACTGTTTGCGGTCCACCCTGTTCATACGGAGGCGGTGAGTTTTATTTTGCTTGTACTAGATGGCACTGGAATCAAGATAGCTCGCGCGTATACTTCGTTTGAAATTACTTTAAGTGATCGTTGTAAACTAACAGCTGTCTTGAAATCTCATTAATACACGGCAAGAGAATCTCTCCAAAAGCATTTTTTAACTGGCAGTTAGAAAACTTCTTTGTCATAAAATAATCACAGTAGACGCCTGATATGTCATTTATTCAAATAGGAAGATGCCTCGGGCACAATTTCTTAAAATAGCACCACTCTAGCGCGCCTGAATTGTCACATGACACGGGTAAACTGTTCCCGTATTAATAGTTTATTGATTTCCTTTAGTTTGAACTCAAACAACGACTAGAATATGTATTTCTTCATATTGAGAAACATTTGACGAAAATCAAAGTTTTATTTCAATAAAACTCTAAAATGGGCATTGGTGTGCCTTACCTACGTGATGTAGCAATGATCTGGTATATTAATAAGTCATCATGACATAGCTACCGAGAGTCATGCGATGTATATAGAAAATTAGCTAGTGCTTCTTTAGCAAGCAGGATTTTATTGAAGAGAACGGCCGAAAGTAATACTCGTAAATAAGCAAATTCGGTCATTCGCGTGATAGTGTTCTGCAAATGCATGGCATGTACAAAACATTAATACGACATGTGTTGCAGACAGACGTAAATGAAGAAAAAAGGCTTTATGAAAACAACAACAGTCACAACAGTAAGCGCCACTCACAAATTATGTCACGTACCTACTTGTAAAATCAGAAACATTTTGTAAAATCAGAAACATTCATTTACAATTTTACTATTTAAAAGTATATCTACCAAACTATTGCGTACAGATGTGATAGTTATACAAAGTCAATGAACGAAACTATGCCCATGAAAATGTACGTTGCAAAAACTGGCGCAGGATTACAAAACAACTGAATAGTTTAGAAACAACAAACGGAATTCCGTTCCCAGTAAAATGGTTGTCTAATAAAAGAAAAAAATTGGTCAAGTCCGACAAAATAACATATCCATGGTTCGGTACTGATGACCATTGGTGCTAACCCTTTTTAAATATTTTGTATTTTCTTTAAGTCAAAATTTGCTGGATGATTTTAGGAGGATATATAACGATTGCTCGAAACGTGTGTGTGTTGATTTACCGATTTTAAATATACTATCATAGCAGAAAATATAAACAAAGTCATGTCAAATTCGTTTACTAGAGCGTCATAAATTCACATTCTGCATTAAAACTCTAATCCAATAATAAACTTTTTTGTTTGGAACCCTGAAACCAGCTGAAAACCGCGTATTTTGACAGAACCGCGGACACGGGAGCAATTTCCGCGGTGGAAATAACGCGCACTCACGGCCGTCAATGGCGGCCGCTTTCGATCGAAACACCCGCGGTTTAGTTTAGATGATCCTTTAGTGAGCATACAGCTGCCAGGCCGGGGATTAAAAAAGTGAATACTCGAATAGGTCGATATGCAATGCTAGTCACAGGCGGGATTAATAAAAAAAGCTTCTACCAAGCAATTCAAATTTCGACATTTATCAAAAAATCAATTTAAAGTACGAGCTGGAAGTTTACCATAGTGGACCGAACCGACATAGGTAAATTTTGTGTGTATTTTAAACTTATACTTTTTAAAGCTTTTCAAAGATTTCGTAGCTAAGGTACGTTACTAAAAAATAACGAAACGAAAAACGAGTTCGAACTTTTGTTGTAATACTTTGATAAATAGGTATTAAAAACCGGAGTTCTAGACATAATACAAAGTAAGAAATATTATGTATGCGGACAAAGCAGCCGCATACGACTGCATTTATGTGATTTATGGAACGCCTTCTGGAATGCACTAGCACGTACAGCCAGTCTCAGAAATTACACGCATTTCCTTGTTAAAGCGAATGTTGCAAGTTGTTTCACAATAATGATAACTTGACTCCGTATTAAAGAACCTTTTTATTATTTATTTATAAAAATCTATTTTTATCTTTTGTAAGCCTTAACATTTTATTCATAACTAGCTTTCCGCCCGCGGCTTCGCCCGCGTTTCGGTTTTTTGTATAACCTATGATACTCAGCAATAATGTGGATTTCTATTGGTGAAAGATTTTTTAAAATCGGTTCAGTAGATCCCGAGATTACCCCTTACAATTTAACAAATATACAATCACACAAACTTTAACTCTTTATAATATTATTATAGATTTGTGTGTCTACCAGAATGAATACGTAAGTCAGTGCCAAATTCAAGACGACACTACGAAACGTACACTTTAGGTCGCATCTCAAGTCAAACTGGCACGTAAGCCGCAAGCAAATTGGTTCGATCGCGCTCTTCACACTGTTCTGGCAGCGCCCGTCAAGATTCTGCAGTATACATTTGGATCTTTGATTTTTTGGTATAACCAGCTACAAAAAATATAGTTATTCATAAACCTAATATGAGCATAACAATATTAGACTACGTTTATGAATCTATGCATAAGATTGATCTAGAACTGTTACCGCATGTGTGAGGCCGACTATACATTTACAATGACACCGCAGTGTTGTTTTGTTTTATGGGAGCTCACGTAATGCGCATTTTCATTAGTAATGCTGGTCAGTGAAAAATGAACAAGAATCTAGTAAATGTAACACAACGTACCTACTACGTGTGCACACAATGCTAATGAATCAAAAATAACTCTCTAATTTACTCCTTAAAACACACTTTTACTTATAAATAAGTTATCACGTGAACGTTTTGAACGGAGAACTAAAATTCTCCATTGTCATTATGATTTATAAATGTCTGTATTTGCGAAAAATATTTTAGCATTATTTTCTAACATGAAGTTTTGTTTTGTTTTTGTTTTCATCCAGAATTTATTTACATTGAAAACAAACGAACACTTTTTGTTGGTTTACCGTTTTTCGCTATGAAACATTACTTTTGTATAAATAAAATATTTACACGCAAGTCTGAAGGTNGCTGTTTGATGTACTATCCCAAGCCTCATTAACAAAAGATGTTCGACCCATAACACCGGTTTAATAGGAAACCATCCGAGCAGGAGAAAGCGTAGGATATTGTTAGCCTCTAGCCTAACAAGTTGGTCGGAAGACGCAGATGTTGTGAACCTGCGGGACATTGTGCTTCTGCCGCTCGTTGGCTATTCAGCGCCGAGGCTGCCTGCGCCGGACAGGTCTTTCAAATAACGAGGTTGCTATTGTACCGAGTGTTGCCTGCATCTTACAGGTCACAGATTTATAAGGGTTGTTATCAATTTTTGATATAAACATGCGCAGGACGTGATCTAAGATTCAAATTGGTGGAGTGATTACTAAGAAAATTTCCACTTTCTGACTGCTAGAATAGGGATATACTGAATAGGCGAGCTGTTCTTTCTTCAAAGTTAGATTAGCCTTTGTCTTTTACAACTTGACTGTCGTTTAAGCATACCTATATCTTGTAACTCCACACTCGCCGTCAGAATTATTGCTCCACTCCGCATTAAGGACGTGAAAATCCGTTTTCATTGTTACATGACAAATAAAGTAGGCACTGTACATTCAGGCTTGGTCCCCACTAAAACATTTTACTGCCCAAAAACAAAATCTGGAGGCTCACAATATCAGATTCAATATCGGGTCGCGCCGATAAAACAACTTTATAGATTTCTTCTCGTCCGGACTCCGGCCGGCGATAAAACTGCCGTGCCGGTTTCAATCACGGCTTCAGGAGACATCGTTGCCTAAAGGAGTTATAAAAGTCGACGGAATAAATCAATGTGAATTCGTAAACGTGACCACTGACCATTTTGATTAGCCATATCTGGGTATATGAATATTGAATAGATAGTTAAGAGCTATCTTGACATTCACGATATTACGTCTAGCAATAAAAGATAACCAACAGACTCAGTGTTTCCTCTAAAGAATCAATTTATTTATATATTTTATTTATTAGGACAACCAACAAGACAAACACGCTTAGGTACATGGTATCAATTTATGAATAGGTGGTGAAATACACACTTGAAAAAACCTACTGTCGGTAACGTGGTTTTTTATATGACTGCGCCAGAAAGAAGATTTACTTGACTGTCTCCAACTCTGACTTGTAGTAAGTTTTTCTTTTTCTAATAAAGCAACAACTGTTCGCCAAATTCAACCAGAATCGGAAATAGCCGCTCTTAATGGCCTGTATTCGAACATTCAAACTACCATACCATAACTCCCCGCGCCGGCCGCAAACAAGCCCCTTCGCAAGTGAGGGATAAATCCCGCGGGATTTAGTGGCATCGGGAAAGAAGCACTGCCTATTTACATTCCAATTAAGGAGAGCCGATGCTCAGTTGTCTGTGCGACGGGTTAACTGTCCAGTAAGTAATGTAAGCGGGAACATACGGGAAGAAACTGCACAAGATTTAGCGTTTTAGTGGTTACTGGGTGAAGAAGAATCGGGTGTAAGTTTGGTCGTAGTTTTTCTTATAAGCTAAATAAAATTCTTAATTTAAAATAAAAGCCAGTATGATGTGAAAGTTAGTATAGAAAGCACAGTATTTCTTTAGTTAGTTCATAAGAATCAAATCCCATCAATATAATTAGCCGTTTATTGTGTTGTTTGAAACAATTTAATTTTATAAAGTTAATAAATTGTGCTTAATCTCGTGCAAAATAGAATCCTGTATATTTGGATCCTCAGTTGCTCCGTTTACGGCTTTTCATTATAATGCTAAGAGCGTTCGTCTTGCGCCGGTTGCGGTTCCTTCTAAGGAGAAATTACATTATTTTTCGTATTTTGTTCCGTGAAAAGATCTAGTTTCGACAGTTTTGCCAGAATTAATCTATGAAAAAAGATAAAAAATACTTTCTATGCCCACTAAATAAGTAAAAATTCAAAAGACCTACTAAATTGGTTATCTGTCATGCCACTAAAGCTATTAAAGCTGGACTAAAAGCATAATGGAAGCTTAAGCTAAAACATTTCGTATACAA